GCGTGTGTGTGTGTGTGTGTGTATAACTCAGAAATTTTTTAGGAAGTAATCATAAGCAGATCTGACCATCAGAAGCATCAATGAATCAGAAAATGCATAAAATTGGCAGATCTCAAAGAGTCAAAGCAAAGAGAATAAAATCAATTTCTAGAGCATCAGGTACAAATATAACAGAAAATTTTCAGAAAGTAATAACAAACATATCTGGCCATCAGAAACATCAACGAATTAGAAAATGCATGAAATTAGCAGTCTCAAGAGCCAAAGCAAAAAGAATAAAACCAATGTCTGGAACATCAAGGTGACACTCAATGCAGAACATCAATAAATTTTTAAATGTTTAAATTGGAAAATCTCAAGAGTCAAAAGCAAAGGGTATATAATCAATTTCCAGGGCATTAAGAGCCAAGGTCACTTTTTTTAGTTTGGTCCATCACATTAAGAGAATGCTTAAATGATAAGTGTGTTATTCTCATATCATACACGCTGTCTCTTTAAAGGAAGGGTGATAAGCTTGCCCAGTGAGCAAACTGAATATCATCATACAGACCTAATACGCACAACTCCTCATATGCAGCCCACATTAGAGGATCCATTGATAGTGCCTGCTTAAAATGATGTATGGCACTTTTCCTTCTGTCGGTGTATCTGAAAAGAGAGATACAGAGAATTTATAAGGGTGGATTTATCAAATGTTGCATGCATGCATCACATACACACATATTTGTACTCACGCATGCACAAATATATGGAATTGACTCCAGTTACAGCATCCAATATCTTCTTATAAAATGCATTTTTCATTGATTTAATTGTTTAATTACAAGTATCTATCATTTTGATCTTTCATGTCAAACAGTGAAAGGCTTGAACATCAATAAGAATGTAATTGAATAGTTCATATTTTCATATATTTTGACTGTACAAACATATATTACATTATTCATTATTAATTATAACTTATATAAAAGGAGTAAAATAAACAATTTCTGATTTATGTAAAATTTTATGGGTATGATCTACATGATTAGTATTATCAATCTAACAGAGGATTTTGCGATAAAGTCCTCCAAAAAAAAGTTACTCGATTATATTGATCCAAGAAAAGTCAAATTACTAATAATTTCATAGAAGCATACAAAAAAAGTCCTGAACATCACCAATACAACCACTGTTTAACTTTAGCTAAAATAGATGTTATAGAACTGGTTGCAAAAGTCCATGGTCTAAATCAAACCTTACTTTTTAAACAGAACCATCAACAGTATCTTGAGAAAATACTTCATAACAGTAATTTTGTGGTTAGAACAATTTGCTACAATTAACATTTCTTCGCATCATCATATAACTATAACTCCTTTTAGCATCTTGAGACTTGTAGTGTTGTGATATTAAATAAGTATGTATGTATGCATAAGATCTGATTTAGCCAGGATCAGATCATTCCCTTTCAAACAATATTAAAAACAAATTTCACAAAAACTATTAAACAATTAATGGTGAGACTGATTACCAACCTGTAAATCAGCCCTAACAGATAATGACCAGCTGCACCATTTGGAACCTACATAGATAAGAAAATAACAAAACTTAAGTAGTCATTCAGCTTCTCCCAGCAAATGTATTGAAAAATTATAACAATAAACAACTTAAAGCAAAGCAGCATGCTAAAACTAAGTCATACAAGAATAATGCATTTAACAACAGTAAATTTGCAAGAATACACAAAAATAAGATAAAAACACAACCAATGACTTCTGAGACAAAAATGCTAAGGCCACCTAAAGACCATTAAAAAGTTTGGAAAGTTATTCTTAATTTAAAATATATTTAAAATTAAGCTTAGTACCTCTGTACTAGGCTCATTAGCAGGACACAACGCTGCTTCAGCCTCACTAAGAAGATCCATCTGAAAGCATGATATCGCAAACAAGTACCGGGATTGAGCCATTTGTGCTCCTTCAAGCATCAAAGACAAAATGAATAACGAGATACATAGAGAGAAGCATAGCTTTGAGATAATCGTAAACAAAGTAATGGAAACATTATCTATTCAAAGGAAATTGAGAAAACAGATGAGGAATGGCGATATTTAAACTAACAGGATCAGGAATGTGATTCTAAAACTGGTTGGTACATAAATATTGAAAGAAACATACCCTTTAAGATATGATAAGCAGAATAAGCTTGATTATTCTGCAAGTAACATCCAGCCAACATTTGGAGATTTGTCTGTATAATATCCAAGAAAAATAGTTATCAAACAAAACTATGAAGAGAGAATTAAAAAAGTTACAACACATCAAATATAATAAATTAAAAAATATATATGATCACTTGAGCATGTCTGATGCACCTTAGACACAACAAATCAGAAGAACAAGATAAATTAACAAATATTTAGCCTACATCTATAATAAATTAGAAGTTCAAAGCCCAAACTTCACACTGACACATAAATATAAATATAGTACAAGACATTACAAGAACCAAGTCCAGACTTCATATTGACATTTTCTATTCAATTGATTTCTGCTTCAGACTTGTTGTAAGGTACAAGAAATTAGTACAAGTCTCTTCATAAGCGGAGCACAAAACATCTTACATTTTACCCTTCCGCCGAAACAGCTACACATAGTAAATAGTCCTCACACGAAAAGAAACCATTTCACTGTTACTACACAGTGGACACGGGCAACTTCAAATCATGGAAGAGAGAAAACAAAACCATCACGTATAAATCCACTACTTTGACAAAACTAAGAAAGTGCCAAATGAACTTCAAGCTTCAAATTACCATCACAAACCCAATTTAATCGTTTTAGTGCACCGTGAACAACGAGGGGGGAATCTGTGCAATCCAGATAGACCGAGAAGCTAAAAGAAGAAACTGAATCCAAATCCAAATCCCAATCCTCTTAATAAAAAATTCAACTACCACTGCACAAACTACGAAATGGACTAGGTGAAGCCGAGAGCCACCGATCTCGGAGCTTATAGAACATGAAGATTGCGGAGCTTATAACGGAGGGAGAGAAATTTCCGTTTGGATTTTCATTTTGTGAGGAACCAAAGCAAACGCAGGAGAGGAAAACTAAGAGGGGAAAAGGTACTACCTCAGTGGGGAACTCGGCGCAGAGACGCTGGCAGAGGAAGATGGCGTTGGCGTGCATGAAATGCCGAAGACTCTTCTGCACGCAATCAGCGAGTATCGCTTCCATGGCTGCCACCGCGTGCGTGCTTAGTTTCGAATTCGATTCAGAGAAGAGAAGAAGAAAGGAGGGTTTTGGTTTCGGTTCAAAATCAAATGAAATGAAAACACGAATTGGGTGTGGCACGTGCTTTGTCTCCAATTTCAAAATAGGTCACGTGACGGTTGTTGGTCTTGGTAATGTCATGCATCTCAAATGTTCCGTTGCCAATTACCATTTATAAACTCACACACATAAACATAATCAAAAACATAAAATATTAAATAGCTAAATGGTTGTCCATTTATCAAAAAAAAAAAAAAACAACGTTCCCTTTTCAGTGTAATTAATTAAAAATAAACAATGGTTTGCATATGAGTTATTTAAGAAATAAATTTGGTCACATTACGCAAAAATAAAACAAATTTAGTCACTTGTAACATTTTGATAAGATAAAAACATGGATAAGGTCAATGTGAATGTCGTAATTTTTATTATGGATCAAATTTTTGATATCGGAATGATGATTGAAGATTGGAAAGAATGGAAAATCTATGAATTAAATGGAGTTGTGTGCCTGTTTATATAGGGATACTTCATCATGCAAATGAACAGAATCTTTGTGATAATATTATTAAAGAAGATTTAATAAATAAAAAAATTACATTTAAATTCATATAACTAAATTTTGAGTATTTCATGTTTTTCATACCCAGAATAATCATTACTTATACAAGTGATCTTATAATCACTTAAATATGTTTTTAATATCCATAAAATGAATGAATTTTAATTTTGATTAAAAAAAATTGTTTTTCATTCTTTTAGTATTTATAAAAATTACTTTTAATCCTTATAAAATACATAAATTTTTATTTTGATTTCTAAAAAATATTTTTCTTTAATTTCCATCCTTTTAAAATATAAAATCACTATTTTTAGTCTTTAACAGTGATCTTAAGCTAGATAGATAATATTTATTTTAAAAATATATTAAAAAAAATATTTAGAAATATCATACATTAATGTAATATTATTAACCGTTATGAATAATACATAAAATAATCAATTGACCTTTTAATAAATAAATAAATATATTATATATATATATATATATATTACATAATAACATAAACTAAAAACAAAGTTTTAAATTTTAGAAAAATAAAAATATAAAAAAATTTTACAAAGACTAAAATTAAAACTTACTTATAGAGTAAAAACATATTTAAATCCTTTATAAACTTCTCTTTTTTTCTTTTACATTTATCACAACTATTTTCTCTTTCAAAAAAATGGGTGTTGCAATTATTATTCAAATTGAGTTTATTTGTTCCATTCTCACCTCTATTTTGTGATATAGCATGTTGTCACTTCTATTTTGTCACATTTATTTTGTCATATAACATTTTTGTCGTATACCATATTTTATCACAGCATGTTGTCACCTCTATATTGTTATATAGCATATTTGTCTCCAAGAATAATCATCAACACCTTTCAAACTTAAAGTTTGTTTAAATACAAGTTTAAAACAACTTTTGAAAACTTGATAAAAAAAAATTATTTTGGATGACGAATTTCTCAAGAACTCTTTCAAATTTATATCCAAATAAACTCCTAACATTTAAAGAATTTTAAACCATCTAATCAAGTAATTGCCTACGCCTTTCAAGATTGGCACTTGAAGATTTATGGATCGCCCGAGTGAAGATAGGTGAACCTTCAATCCTTGAACCTAATATAATGATTTCTAGCGGAGAAATTCTTTAAATATGTGTGATCAATCCTTTCATATAAAGTCAAGTATAGTAGAAGCTCACTAAAATTTATTGAGTTCATGTGGAACTTTGAGAGACGTGTGTTCTCTAGCGTGAACAAAAACGACAGAGAAAAAACTATTTAAGCTTAGTTCACATTGTTGTTTTTAGAACAAGACTTCTTATTCTACAAATAGTACAAAATCGGATTGTACCCAGAAATCACTTGACTTCAGAGTGGGAGATGAAAGGTCTCAACTAAAAAAATAAGAACTGCCATAACACTCCTTAACTTCCCGTTAAGCAGTTCCAGCATCTAAGTTAAGGAATTTCTTTATAATTCCCATCATTTCTCCTCCAGGGAAACGCCCCAAACACCCCCTTGCAGCTGCCACTTCATTTAGCTCATAAACTGAGTCACCACTATAAGGTTGACAACATTTGTCTCTTCCCTCTTTTGTTTCCAAGTCATCAAGTAAGTCTTCACCAGACTTAACACTTGGAATAGGAAATGGATCCAGAGAAGTTTTGCAGATAGTGGATTCACCAATTGCGCCAACAAAGTCTTTCAACCAGCACATTGTGAATGGCACTGATTCAAAGCTATGATCTCCATATTCTACTGGAGTAGAGTGATCTCCTGTGACACAAAGGGAAAACTGAAATTTTCCTGTTGATTCTGCTTCCCAGAGAAGCCTTGCCAACTGCCCCACAGCAGTATCTACAGCTTCCAATGCTTTGACTTTGAGAATGCTTGCCTTGTCATGGCCGGCATCATCTATTGCCTGCAATGCCATATAAGGACTCATCAGAATTGAATAATCCAAAAATGAAGGAGCAGCATTCTAAGTTAAAGATGGAAGATTTAGCAGAACTAAATATGAGACATTTTCTGGATCAAAAAAAAAAAAAATGAGGCATTTTTTAGCAATATGCATCATATGCTTTACATTAGGCCAGAGATTCAATTACAATTTAACACTTCTCAATTTCTGCATTTCAGCAAAAAGAAGGTAGAAAACTCTTCATCTAAAAAATAGGATTCCAGAACATCTAAGAGGCAAATTGCTGAAAAGTAAAAGCAGACAAAGTAACCAAAAATCGTAAAATTATGACCTTAATATGAAGAAATCCGAAGTCATAGCCATCTGACCGGCCTGCTTTAAGCTCATCCTCGCCAGGTACAAAAACTCGAGGGCAGGATTGTAAAGGAGCTGAGAGTGCCTTAGCTATTGACGTTGCTTTAGAAGTTAGTAAAGTTCGATAGTCCCCAGTTGCTCCAGGAGCATCTAGAATATCAATACCAAGTGATAAGCCCAGGCCAGCAATTATTTTTGTTGGAGCTACCATGCATGGCGACAAATCATGTTTATCTAAAAACGGTGTAACCTGTAATATACAATTTAAAGTGATAAATGCATACAACTAGTACATGGATAGATAGCATTTTTAACCTGGATTGCAGTTCATCATATATATTATATTTATTCTTATTGGAACAGACAGCATATAATTAACATACCAACTGGCATTTAACTTTTCATCCAAGTATTTATGGAGTATTTTGCAAAATCACAGAATAGTAGGGTTGAAGTTACAGAAAAAATCACTTCTGGCCAAACTCAATCTCACAGTTTGCCTCCTTTTGAAAGTCAACAATATTAAAAAACAAAAAAGAAACATACCACGAAACTCAAGAGAGGAAACTCAAAACTGCAAAACATACAAGTTAATATTGTTATTTTGTTTATAATAATTCTTAAATAATTGCTATATATTTGATGCACTTTCATTTGAAGTAGCAGAATACGTAAATGGATTAAGATGTATCAAAATTTGTTTTTCTCAAGCATCACTTTAATACTTGAAAGATAAATGTTCAACTATGAAATAAAGTGAAAGAACATACCTCAATTCGGATGCCACAACCTCTTAAGAGGACTATATTTGCTATGTTCTTCCCTTCTGTGAGACGTTTAGCATTCACAGGATGAGAAACTAGAATTTTTGTTATTTCCTTGGACAACTCATTAACAACAGCAGCAGTATTCTTTGCTTCGTGAGAATCATCTAAAGCTTCTGCTTTCAAAAGTAAGCGGTTGTCCTTTAATGGGTCTGTTCCTGATATATTTCCACTCAAATTTGGTCCTTTAACAACCACTCCACATCTATGTTCTGTTGCATACCTAGTAAAAGAATAGCCAAAATGTATAAAGAACTGTTAATTCTTTTGGTGGACAAGAATTGTTAATTTAACTCGGCATAAATCTTGAGTTCCCAAACTAGTAAACATTTAGTCGTCAATTTTACTTGAGTGCTGAATTTTAAAATTTCGGAATGAAATCTTCAAGCCAGGTAAAATAAAGCTCAACAATTAACCCTTAAAAACTTAACATTACCCATAATAAGTGGTTACCTACATTAACAATTAACCCTTAAATGATATAGCAACCTTAGGCATCTTCACCTGACTCTGACTTCATATTGAGGGAAAGATGGAAGCTTCATTCCATCTAAAGCAGCACAAAGAATGGGGCCTTCTTCTTCAAAGTGCCTGTCAGCCCTCCTACTGGTGACTATTCCAGTTTTCTCATCAAGAGTTGCAAAGTTTGACTGCAGGAAAATGTTTTTTTTGAGTGATTAACATGAACAATGCAGAACAAACTTCGAGATATTTCCCCTTTAGAAGAGGTTAAGTAATAATTTCAACATAACATAGAAAGAAAGCACAATCTATGTAACGATTTTATATGTAATGTTAGTCACTCATCAAAGTCAGTGCCTCAGTGGCTGATCCAGGACTCGCAATTAGTGGGAGCATTAAATGTAATGGGTTCAAATATATAAAATTAAGAAGGACAAAATATAAAAATTTAAGATATTTATTTGTAATGAGTAAAAAATTAAAAGTGTGGGTTCAGATTCATAAAATCAAGGGGTGCAAAATATGAAAAATTAAGATATTTATAAGTAATTATCAAATTGGGGGAGTGCACTTGCACACCCTTACCACAATATAGGTCTGCCACCGACCAAAATTGTATTGGTAAAGCATTGCAGTAAAGCTGCTAAAGTTAGAATTGAGCACAGAATCCTTTACAGAACTAATCAAACGAAAAGTTATGATCTGAAGTCATCACATCCAAGAAAGCAAGGAAAGAGGACAAAATATCAACAGGGCTTACAACAGAGTTATTATTATGTGCTAACCATGGAAAATATATGCTACAAACCTTTCTATATCATACCATCATTTGAGAAAAATATCTAGGCTGGTTTAATCTCAAATTTGCATCAAACTTTTAACTGTAGCAATCCGCTACCCTAAACCATCTAGGAAGGAGATAGTTTCTGTAGCATGCATTAGTTACTTGAAAATAAGTATAATATCTCCAACCAAAGGTAAGCTTAGAAAACATGAAAATAGGGTTATGGACCAACCTTAAAAGCAATATCACCAGGTGACATGGCCAATCCTGCCCCCATGGATTCAAACGCTCCTCGGCCGCGATAATAAACTCTAGGATCATAACCCAACAAGGAAAGATGAGCAGTGTCACTTCCACAAGCTAAGCCAACCTCAACAGGGTCCATTAGTCCATTAACTCCAGCAGATGCTATGGCATCCAAGTTGGGGAGTTTTGCAGCCTGAAGAGGGGTCTTGTATCCAAGCCTTGGCAGTGACACATCAGCCAACCCATCAATCAGCACAAATGCCACTCTTCTCTTTGGCACCTGTGGGCAACTCATTCTGTTCCTCTTTTTCTTGTTTCCTCAGGTTATAAATAGTAGGGTTAAACAGCAAATAACGAATCACTCTAATGATGATGTCTTCACTACCAAATACCTGCCACCATAATAAGTATCATACGCACCACAAACATTTTATCTTTGAACAATTTGGCTTCACATCTTACAAAGACACAACCAATAAAATTCAACCATTTTTTTTTCAAACGGGGAAAAAAACATTGAAATCTGCTATAGAAAAACAGGAATAAAATCTAAACCAGAAAAATAAACCCATCCACAAAACTGGAACCTTGTTTCAGTTTTGTGTTCGGTACTCAAATTGGAGACTTGGTTGCAATCCCAATTCGTTTCAAACCTTAATATGTGCAATTAAATCGATCTCCTATTTCTGAACTTAGCGTAGTGAACATGCAGAGAAATGAATTTGCAACAAAATAAATGAGAAAGAGGAAATGGAAAATAATAAAAATGTAACCTTGGAAGCTTGATCAATGAATGTGAGCGATCCAGAAAGTAGAGTGTGCAGATGACAGGAGGCGAAGATTAAGGAATTCTTCAGAAAACGCAATTAAATCACTTTCAGAGGCTCACTTTATTCTTCAACCTTTATTCTCTTCATGATTCATGAAATCATAATAATAAATTGGAATTTAACTTTTATTGTTTAATGAAAGATTTATATACAATAACCGTGATAGCAAATTAAGTGATTCAAGTGACGAGCCAGTCTTATTAACGAATTTAATTACAACCAGAATGTACATCAGGAAAAAAAAAATTAGACTTAAACATATTTTTGGTCATAACAAAATGAATATCTTTTAAGTTTATTCTTCATAAAAAAATATTTTTCATTTCTAAAATTTGATATTATTATTTTTAATTCTTAAAAAATAAATAAATTTTGATTTTAATTCTTATAAGATATTTTTTATTTTTGTTTTTAAAATTTTAAAATCACTATTTTTGTCTCTTATATTTATTTTAAAATATTTAAATAATATTTGTTTTATAAATTTTCTTTTAGAAATGTTACATATTAATATTGTATCAAATACAGTCATAACCATTATCAGAAATCATCACTTGACTTGAAAATATGATAAATGTAAAAGTACTTCAAAATAATCATATAATATTAAGATTAAAACAAAAATTTTAATTTTAGAGAGAAAAAAAAAACAAAGAAAAAATATTACAAAGATCAAAATTAAAAGTAATTTATTTTACATGGATTAAAATCATATAAATTTTTTTTATAATGACCGAAAGAAGTTATTTTTTAAATTAAAAGTTAATTTTGATAAAATTATATAATAATATATAATTGAATATATTTATAATTTTTATGTTATTAATGTATTTGAATGGAATGCTAATTAAAAATTACTATTTTATACTTTTTTATGTAAATATGAACTAATTTGAACTCTTAAGGTTCTTTAGATTGTTATTCATGGATATTGAAAACACTAAGATCTTGAGAAGTGCAATGAACTGTGTCTTAAAAAACTTATTCGTAGACTCTCATGCAATTCCCGATGATACAACTCCATGATACAATAGGATATTTTTAATACTCAACTAGAGATGCAGAACTAATAAGTTTTATAACCCAGGTAAGAAAGAACATAGAAGAGAGCAATGCTTAGTGCCTTTGACTCCTACTAAATCTCAATATTTATATTCAATATTTATAGAAGGGAGATATGGACTGTTGTGACTATAATTAATCATGATAATTAAAAATAATTAATTTTAAAACATTTAATCATTAAAATGAATTAAAAGTATAACAATCATATTATTATATCTCATTAAAACTAATATTAATTAGACTTCAATACCAGTAATTAATAAAATAATTATTTTTAGTTTAAATTTAAATTTTAAATAATTTCATAAATTAATTAACCTTTTGAAATATCTCAAAATATACAACACCTATTAAATCAAAGGATAATGTAGAACCTTTTAAAAAAAAATTATGTTTTAATGTTAATAAATGTAAACATTTTTGCAAAGGCATGAAAAAATCTAATATCAAAGACAATAACATATATAATAGATAAAGACAATACTAAGGGGTGCATTTGATTAGGATTTTAAAAGATTTTTTTAGTTAAAAAAAGTCTCGTGGATTTTAAAAGATTTTGTAAGATTTTCATGACTTTTAAGATTTTGTAAGATTTTCATGACTTTTAAGATTTTGTTACAAGTACAAAATATTTTTATTTTTATTTTTAATTACTTTCAATTATTCACTCGTGAAGAAATATTTTTAGTATTGAATTCTAAGATACTACAATGTCTTGTGTTAATTTTTTTTTAAATATAAAAATCTTAATTTTATAATATAAAAATTTTAAAAAATAAAATTCATAGTAAAAAAATGAAATAAAATAATTATTGAGTCATAAAAGGGGAATGATAACAATAACAAATTCAAGAGAGGAAGAGAGATCACAATTTTTATTTGAGAGGGTTCTTCTCCCAACTAAGATCCATTTTTATCTCATTCTATTTACAGAAACTCTAACTCAAATTCATCTTTTACACACACACACACACATATATATATATATATACTCCC